CTGAATTGCACAAAACGCATGATCGCACCGGCTAGTCTGGTGCGCGTTGCTATTTATTTGACTTTGCAATATGTTGTGCTAATTATTACACCACTGATTTTCCACTGAACAAAATATTTGGAAGCAATTCATCAAAAGCCTTTGCGATTTGCATAAATGCTGTAATGTGAAAGGCGGAAATGCAAATTGAAATTCTACCAGATTCTCGGAAGCCATTTCTTTGCACCATCATCCACCGAATAGTTCGAGTGAACTTACTGTGCAAAAGTGTTGGGCTGCTTGAATGCTGGATGGCCACAACCAGGCAGCAATCCGATCAAGTAAGTGACCACAATAGTTGACCAACTGACAATCAGAAGAAGCAGCGCTTTTCGCGGAGATGGATTAAATTTGGTGAGCAGGTATCCACCGAGAGCTGTGCTAAATGCCACACTGCCAATTGAGACTATTCCTGGAAGACAAATTAAATTCCAAGTACCCATTGCTTCTACCGCACTTTAGTACTGAAAAAATTCATTATGGCGCACGAAACATGCAAAACCTCTTATCGCACCGGCAGTTCTGCTAAATATAGCTGTTTAGGTATCAGGGAGCTATTTATTTGTAAAGTGCAGAATGAAATGCTACCTACCGGCGTACATATCGGCGGCAGAAGCGCTCCGACCAAACTGCGTTTCGATATATTTGGGCAAGTACGTGCTGTAACCACCAGTCAGGTATGATCCAAACATCCAACCAATGACCATTGATGCGTACACTGGGTTCCTTAGCAGTTCGGCTGCCATCCTTGCAAATTCTGTAAAGCAAATGCCTTGCTCAATTCTTCTTTTTGTACGGCTATTTCTTTAGTCAATTCTTGGAGAGTGCTTGTTTTTGGGCCAGTTTATTCATTAATTTCAAAGACTATATTTTTTGCAGATCAACAAAAATAAGTAGCTACAACCTTCAGTTGCTTCTTTTAGTTGTCTGCCGAATGTTGTTTTCGGCACCTGTTCGCCGTTGAGACTGGCAATTAGGTGGTCATCGTGGTCATGCGAATATCCATTTCTACAATTGTAAAACGTGACAACTTTTAAGAAGTAAAGAAAATGGTGGTGCATGTCATTTCTCAAAAAAAGCACTTAAAAGAATATATGACAATTTGGATATGGAATTTATATGTACACAAACAGCAAAAAATATCAATATTATCGAAACTTTAAACACTGCATTTCGATTTGGTGTGTTCCGTGCTGTTGTTGCTTCTGCAATGATTTGGGGAAAAAGAGAAGCGGAACTGCCCCAGCCAGATACAGAAAGCCGCAAATGATAAAACCAAGCCACCATGCGCCAACCCATTCGTCGCTACTTAAAGTCAGATTTGGTGGTGCTGAAAAACGTACGCTGCTAGGTTTACTGTTTAACCAAAAATTTTATAAATATCATGGCTAACATTAGTCGCCACGATATGATTTCCCGTAGATTGTCCAAATAACTGAAAAAAAGAAAAGGTTCACATCTACTTGCTGCCAGAATAGCTAAGTGAAGGGTTTTGATAAAATTTTTAATGCAACTTAGGATACAGTATTGTCTCTTCCGAATGCCAAATTGTTTCGAAAAGCTATGGCCCCACACAGTTTTTTTGACCAAATTGTTATTATTGTATATCTGTTGGCTTTTTCGTGTGCACTCTTACTTCGGAGCAGGAAGTGCCTGATTTATTTGTTGTGATCGTAGTGACCCGATGTGATTGAGCGGGTAAACACAAGGGACAACAGTGCTGCATCAGTATCGTCAGTGGCGCATCATCGCCGCACAGGGGTTGCCAGGTGAAAACAAAACAACAGCAGCAGGGCAGCCGGGATCTGCCGGATTTGGTATTTAATGTATTTAATGTTTGGTATTTAATGTTTTGTGTTTATGTTGATTGGTGTGTGTAAAGAATGCAGGATTTCTTACATCATTGTGTGCATTGAGTTTTTCTTTTATTATGTAAAGACTTTTTAGTTTACCGAGCCCCACGTATTCGCATTCTCCAGTATTAAAGTACAGGCTGTTAGTGCAACAAAGTGCCTTCAAAAAAAAAAGACTCCTAGCGTTGGCAACAG